GCGTGCTCCGGTTCTTCTTCTCCACAACTTGCAATGCTGCTACCATTTAGTAGGGCGGAAAAGTGTTCCCTCCATAATTTAAGTATGCTTTGGACATCGGTTACTAGGTCGCCATTTTTGTTCTTACAGGAGTACGCCCGGGTCTTGAAACCTTCCGTAAGTCGCCTAACTCTCTGGTAAAATTTTCGGGCATTCTTCCTGTCGGCCAGCATTTCAAGCTCTTCGCACTCACGTATTGCGGCCTCTCTCTTACTGCGGCAAATACGTCCGTCTCGCTTCCCTCTTCAGATCGCTATATCGGTCCCACATGGCTCACGTTGCGCCCGATCGCAGCGTGGCACTCAGTGATGCCAGACATTCTCTGTTAAAAATCCCACGAAAATGGGGAAAAAATCCCTCAATTACCCACAGCTTAAAAATTTATCCCACAAAATTCCCAACGAATTTAAACATATACATGTTTCAGTAGTAAAGAAGTAAAATTCATTAAAATAATAATAATAATAATTGGCGCTTACACATACATATGTGCTTCTCCTCCAATTTGTGGCGTGCCCCTTGTTGCTGTCACACAAAGGGGAGGGACCTACAGTTTTACGCCGACTCCGAATGGCGAGTGTATTTTTATGAGATGCTGTTTTTCATGGCAGGAATACACCCGGAGGTTTGCCATTGCCTACCGGAGGCCGACCGCTGTTAAGAAAAAACCCCTTTTTCTGCATTTTTTTCACTCATTCATTTTTTCACTTTAATTTTTTTGCACACTTGTTAAGGGCCTAGAAGAATTATTTGGTGACTTAAAAATTGAAGCACATTCATATGCTATTTAACATTTGATCAGATAATTTGTTCCGCTTTTTACATGAAACATTCTTTCTTACTCAGCGCTTGAATTGGTTAACGTAAGAAAATTTTCGAAATTGTCCTTATACTTTTTAACAATTATATACCATTTCATTCCACATCACATCTTCAGAAAGATTAATTACGTAAGAATGTCGAATATTCTTAAATTTAAATCAATTATGCAACAATAACTGCATCAAAAGAAAATCCCTTATTTATTTGAAATGTCCCTTTTTTCCCTTTTAATAATTTTTGTTGCAAAATATCCCTCAAATAGGGAAATTACCCACAATCTGGCATCACTGGTGGCACTGTGCGGCATCTTTTTCTCTGCAGCTTCCTGCCACTCCTCATCGTACCAGTTGTTCTTTCGGGCTCGCTGAAATCCGGCGCACTGAGCGCCTTTGCATTTTAATGCTGACGTAAATATCTCATCGGCTGCATTCATTTTATTCAAGAAGCCCATGGTTCTCCTTGGTTGGGTGCCTTTTTTCATCCAATTGAAATTAAGTCTACTACACCAGATGCATTGAAGTTGGTTTAATTTCGTTGAGGGTGGTTGCCGAAGCTTGAAGATAGCCTTGATATGGCAGGCAATCGTGAGGGTAATTCAAGGAGTTCAATTCCACTTGATTGGGATATCTCTTAACGTAGGGAGGGGAGTACGATTTTCAAATTAGGGTGGTTTGATCTTAAGCATCTTTAGCACAAGGCTAGTTTTATTGTGATAACACGAAGGGATACCCAGTGGTGATGCTGTAGAGCTGGCAAACTATCGATAGGCGCACTATCGATTTGATAGCTTGGATAGTATAGGGAAACTATCGATAGTATCTTTTAGATCTAAAAAAGGGCCGATAAGCAAATACAGTTAAGGTATTTACTAAGTATTTTCCAGATTTTGAGATTTGTAGTACAGTGTTACCGTTGTGCGACTAAAGTGTCAACTTGACACTTTTTAGAGATCGATGCCCCCTGACACCGACTCTTTCAAAAAATATGCTTATTTTAAAACTTTTCTGAAAAGCCAAGCGACTTTTGCCACTTTTCTTTGATTAAAAACTCTATATACACATTTTGACAATTTCTTTATAAAATATATTTGTTTTTTCCTTGTTTAAAAATGGTTTTAGTATTTACTTTTCAAAGGCGCTTAAAATATACACCTCTGGCCAGATTTTGGCTGAGCTTCTTATTATGTCCAAATTTTCTCGGAAAAGTGCCCAGTACTTCTAATGCACCGTTTTTGTAGCTTAGCATTTCCCCCAAGTTATTTGTGTTAAATTTATTTTCGTGGCTCCCGGTACAAAGAAATAATCCGCGATAATTTATATACAAACCTAAAAGGCTTAACTTTGTTGTAATAATTGTTATCCACTAATGTTCCTATTTTTGTGACTGAAGTGTTATTTAACTGCAATTTTGTTTTCATAATAAATGCAAAATATGCATATTCGTCTTTTTAATATATCGACTATTTTTTGACAGATTTTCCATCGAAAATTATGTCAAAAGGCTTTAGAGACGATTTTATTTCGACTATGAATATGTCCCAAAAAGTTTCGAATGGTAAAATAATGAATATATGGTATAAAAGATTTTTTACTTGAAGATACTATTTTTCCGGTGCGACACTTTTTTTGCGACTTTTGAAAAAATTTCAGCGGATAACTGCATTGTGGTAGGTCAGAATGCTAATACTCTGAGAGTAATTCGTGCCCATGGCTTTCATTTAGGCATTACGAGTATATCTTACTGTGGGTCGGCCGAAGATGTTGGATATGACAAGCAAGGTATCCTTACCTTTCTTCCAAGTTGCAAAACTTGAACCAAATATAAACTGAGAAAATAACGTAATTACTTTATATCAATTCAATAATATGTATAGTATGTACAAACAAAATTTTCCGTCCAAGAGGACTTTTTACGTTTACTTTATTAATTTTCATTTTTTTTAGTACTACTTTATGAATTCGCAAATGTGAATGGCTACGATTGTTTTATGGTAAAGGTTTTCTTGTCTTATAATGAATTGAGCGGTATTTTAAACTAATTTGCACTTGTGTAAAAATATATGTATGGTAAGTGATGAAAAATTATCGAAAAACGATATTTGGCACCATTGATATTCTATCCGCCATCTCCGCTCATTGTTCTACTCCTGTATATTCGACGTCTTCTGCCTTTGAATAGTGTATGCAAGCCAACACTGTGTCCAGCAAGTAGAGAGCGCCTTCAATTACACAGAGCGCACCCATGGCGATGCCGGTTTGGCGTTCAGCATTCACATAGAGGAAGTCCTGATCAGACATGTAACCGCCCCAATAGTGGAGGGCCACACCACCAATGGCTATCCACATGGCTGTGCCGACCATATTCATTAGAGTGTCTGTCAGCTCGCTGAAAAAAACAAAATGAAATTAAATAATAATTATTAGTTTTGAGCAACGCCATTTTTTTTTATTTTCGAAGTTAATCTCTTACGAACCGTTTATGTTTGGTGGTGCCAAAGAAGAAAGCCACAGAATGCACTGTGGTGTAGATCAGAAAGCCAACGAAAATGCCGGAAGCTACGATTTCTGGTGACGCGCTCTTCTCCTCATTTAAATTCCATGTGCCGCTGACGCCCAAGAAAATTCCCTCATCGCCAATACAGTAAAGTATGAGCACAATAATATTGACTGTCTGCGAGAGAGAAAAAAATGAAAAACCAAAAATATTTCAGTGGAACCCATTTCAGCGTAGCCAGTTTAGTTTAAGACTATGCCTTCCCGCTCTTATTCGAAATTGTCGAAGTGGGGGCTAGTATTGGCATGCATTTCCATTTGCTATTTGAATATTGATAAGCGCGTTTATCTTATGTACGTACATATGTAAATATCTTACTCAGTTTATGACCCGAAAAATATAAATTTACAAATAGCAATGGCATGACCTAATCATTGTTTTCTTATGACTAATGACAAAAGAGCGTAATTATTTTTGGAACCGCTAGTTTTTTTTCCTATAAAAGGTAAAAGCTTATATAAAAAATTTAAAGACTTCATTTTGAAAAGTTCTTTCAAACAAATGCAAAATGATTTCCCCTAAAAAAATATTTATTCACTCCACTTATTGACCGTAAAACACTTATTGCTCATTATAGAATTTGATTTTAGTAAAATCGTTTGAGTCATCCACCTTGTGCTTACCAATTTTAATGCTTTGATGAATATCGATCCAATTGTTTCCACAGACACCATCTTGAAGTGATTCCCTTACAACTTTTGTTGCCAATGAATAGAAAAACCAAAACAAAAGTTATGTTTGAAGTTTAAATGAAATTATAAAATCTTCTTGATATTTTGTATATATTATTTGGTTTGAACCAAAAGCGCATGTGGCCGATCGTTTGGCTTCGTTTTATCGTCGTTCGTTAACTGATGTTGGAATTGAACGCACGCACAACAGCGAGGCGAAAAGTTTTGAACACAAATACGCAGCCATTTATCTTGCAGCTTTTGCAATCGCATTGATAAGATAACAATATCGTTTCGTTTGTTTGTGTGCAATTAGCCGAGGAAAAGCTTTTTTTTCGTTTTTACTTCACAGGTGTAGGAAGCAATAAACGGAATGTAGATGATTTCATGTGGCCGGTCGCGCATTTGCCTCAAGCCTTATCAGTGCTCTATTTTTTATTTTATTTTTTTGCTTTAAGTTGTTGGAGAAAATTGTTAAAAACAGTAAATACACAATGTGTAACTGCATACCAGTCTACCTTATCTTTGGCCATAGCCTGTATGGTTTAATATGATATTTATTTATGTTTTACGAAATACTTTTTATGCTTTTAATGACGCCATTTTTTCATTCGTGGAATTTGTAATGCGTTGGCCAATTTCATTTGACCTTAAATTTATTTCTGTAATCTGTTGATTTATATATCGCTCTAATTCATGAAATAAATTAATTTTCTTTATGGAATACGCATTTAACAAATCATTTCAATAAAGTTTTTCATATGACAATTGAGAATTGAGTAAAACTGCTAAATAGGCGCAAGAAATAATAAGCCAATAGTGCAATAGTTGCTTATGCTTATAAGGGAATTTTTAGTAATTTTATTTAGTTTTTATTTCTTTTTTTTTGTTATTATTATTTTTCAAGTAATGTACTGCCAAATAGTTCTTATTCACTCCAACGTATAATGCCTTATAACCGCATACTCCATGGGACCCCTGTAATAAAGCACGCAACCCAAAATAGTATCCACCAAATACAAGGCACTTTGAACTATACATAAAGCACCCATTGCTATGCCGACGCTGCGTTCGGAGCTCACATAAGAGAAATCGCCATCAGACATGTAACCCAGCCAGTAATGCATCGCCACTCCACCAACTGCAAGCCACATTGCAGTACCGATTGCATTCATAAGAATGTCCGTTAAGTCACTATTAAAGAAGTGAGACAAATTGTGTTTTTTTTTTTTTTGGAAATTATTGAAACATACATACCGCTTAGTTCTGCTGCCTCCAAAACAATATCCAATAATGACTACGGCTGTATATATAATGAAGCCGACAAATAAGCCAGAAGCCAGCATTTCAAGCGCAGGATTGTGTTTCTCATGCAAACTCCAGCTGCCGCCAATGCCCAAAAAATCACCTCCATTGCCAGTGCGATATAAGACCAGTACGCCCAAGTTGTTGAACTGAAATTTTATTAATTTCGTTTGATATATTTATGTATGTATTGTATTTAATGGAAAATATTCGTACTAAAAGTGAAATACACGACGACAAGTTCGAAACATATAACATATCAGCATGCTGGTCATAATAATTATCATTGAGATAAATATTTTGAAGTCTTCAAAGACTTTTATTATAAAAGTTTTTTCATAATAATTATGAGTGCGAAAAAATTGTTTAAGTCTTAAGCGACGGCGCTTGTTCAAGACCATTTTGGGGTTAGTTCAGGGCTAGGGGGCCAGTTCGCGCCAGTTCGGAAACAGTTTGGAACAGTGGCGGATTTACCGTAAATGCAACATAGGTAGGTGCCTAGGGCGGCAATATTTAGGGGCGGCAAAATTTGAGTTAAAAAAATAGTTTTTTTCAAGCTAGCTACACTGAAAGTAGAATTTGTGTTTGTACTATATTTTTATCATGGTTTGTACATTTCAAAACACAAATTTCAGATTCAATTACGCAATTAGAAAATAGGACAAGACTGTTAGTTTTTTTTCATATTATTTAAATGATAATATTTAAAAATACTAATTTAGTATTTTTGAGATTATAACTTATCAAGTGAAAAACGTTTGTTGATGATGGCTTTCTTTAAAAATTGGAGACCTTGACACAAGGCAAATACCACTTCTTCATCTTAAATTATAATATAAGTATAGTAAAATGTTAAATAATAATTGTTGATGACTTAAAAAATTTTTCTCACACATAATTATCATCAAAAAAGTTTTATAATTCTTACGGAAATTTGGATAACTTTTTTTAAAACTCCACCATGAAATAATTATTATTCTGGGTCCCTGATATAAGCAGCCTTATCCTAAATTTTTCCCGAAAAAAATTCACTCGAAAATTTTGCATCCGCCCATATTAAATACATGGAAACGAGCAATGCAAAGTGAACCGGTTCGGGGAAAATTAAACTCATGATAAGGCTGGAAAATCAGTAAAGATTTTTTTTTGTATGGGGGAGTGATGCAGTCTAATGTACATATTAAGCGAAGCCTGTTTTTAATCTATTAATACTTAATAAAGCTATTTGCAAACTTGCTTACCAATTTCAGAATCTTAAGACATATCGAGGCGATTATTTCGTACGAAGCCATTTTTGGGTTATCCATTTCCTCAAGTTCTTTATGTGATTCACCGTTAAAGTTTTTATATGTATTTATTTTTCCATCTTTGTTTTACAAAATCGCAAAAGTTTTTATCTCTATTGCTCGGTTTTCAACCAATCGTATAGTACTAAGCGTGAATATCAAGCGCAGTGTCGCTGGAAAACGCTTCGTTCGCAGTAGTCGCTTGCTGTGATAAGATAAGGCGATACGCAGGTGATTGTGGCAGAAAAGTTGCTTCAATAATGTATGTACATATCAATGTGGTATGTAGGTTTCTAAGTATGTTCTCAATTCAAGCGTACAAGCGTTTAACTGTTGATCGCTGCGGAAATGTTTCGCTTCATATACATCTTTAAACGTAGTATCTAAAAAAAAACGTAATATGAAAATTGGAACGGAACATTTCAATCAAGATCTATGTGAATCGATGAATGAAAATTAAAATTTTTAATTATATATATATATATATGATAATTATTGCTAACACTCAATAATCATTTTATTACAAATTTGAGCACAAGTGTTTATGTACGATACAATTTATCTCAACTTGCATTTTTAGGGACAACAAAGTTCAATAAGAAGTATTCACCGCAAATTAATCGAATAGTTTTGTCACACGCCGATAAATTGAAAAGCTCTACAATATTTACACTTTATTGATAAAAAAAAAGCAACAACAACAGCTTCACTGAATGCGAGTCACTGTGATAGTTCAAATGAGCGTCGTCTGCGCAACTGAACTGAATCGCAATAAATGTATAGCGAGGCTAACGACAACCGACAGCCGCCATCTACTTATGCACAAATGCACCCTGTAGGAAATTCCACTAGCTCGTAGCTTAGTAGGTGTATTCTCTTGTGCGCGATATTTTTTATAACGTTATCGAACTTAAAACTCGAAAATGCTAATCCAATTACTTCCAAAACAATTTCGTCGATGTTTTTGCAAAACCGCCTCTCGACTAGTTTTAAAATCTCCAGACATCGAGATTTATGCATAAAAATCCTAAAATTGTTATTAAAACAACAGATTTGTAAAACAATAGCTAGAGAAAATACCGCATACCAAGGCAATGCCTTTAAAGAAATACCGTTTTTTCGCTCTCCTGTAAAATTTGAATGCCGTAAGATAGGCGGTTTTGCAATTGGTCGATGGGCGGTTTCACAAAAACATCGACTATTCACTTTTGCATTAGAAAGCTACAATAAGTTATATACGAATGATTGGGAGAATGATTCGGTTTTGGGCCTTCAAGATAACTAGGCAGCCATTTACTTGGATCGCTGTAACCCCAATCGAAGTGTAGGAAACGGTATACATACACTCGAAGGCCCTCTTATAAAATCTCCGTTTTAGGTTGCTAGACAAATGTAGCAGTTTCCAAGCAGAGACCTCTCTGTCTGACGTCAACTCCTCTCACATTGCTGACATATCGCCATCGACCTGTAGATTATGGCTTAATGCATACATCTTCGAGAAGGTAGTTAGGTTAGCGTGCTGGCTGCGTAGATGGAGGCTCACTTAGTCTAGACTAAAGTGTTCATTGTGATGCCTTTAAGAGGGGAGAGGGAAAAGTACACAGGGAGTACGCTAAGGGAGAATGACGACAGCCAATGGCTTTTAGCAAGTGAAACGCTCCGTGCTTGCAACGAAGCTCTTCAGTCGACTGATGTCACTCCCGAAAACTCATCCGGAATTTTATTTATATTTACCGATATTTAGAAATGATTGGACTACATTTGAATATTTAATAGTTTTCAAGTACAATACTTGTACCCAGTAAGGTTAGCCGTCCATTTGACGTACATATTTCAGGATTAATATATTAATTTGAATAAAGTAGGTACTTTCAGCTTGTGAGATTTCTACACTAAGCATTGAAATGTTACCAACATGTGTAAATTTAAAGAAAGTACTTAGTACTCTAAATAATACGCGATCCTAGGAAGTATCGATACCAAAGAACTCGATTCTCGAAAGTACTCGATTCTTCCCAACACTATGTAGTTCATATGTATGCAGTGGCAGCTTTAAAATTTTGTCGAAAATATTTAAACGTTTTGGGGTCAAATAAGCTGACTGCATTCATTTATAATTTAACTTACTTGCGGCTGCAGAGCGTAGATTTAAAATTTATCCAATATAAAAGAGAAATTGATTTTCATTACAAACTGTTGAGAATATAACAGGGCATATTTATAGTCAAAATAAAGTAAACATTGAAGGTATATTTAGTTCTACTCACCCTTTTAAAGATTGGCGATTTTGTTGATACGCGGTTTTATACTTTAAACGGCGATACGTATGTTTTTGAGTGTGCATTACATGATTTTTGTTTTTTTTTTTTTTTTTACTTGCTGGTACCTAAGTAAACGAAATTCTCTACTTTCTCGAAATTGTAACTGTCAACAGTGACGTGGGTGCCAAGGCGCGAATGTGCTGAGCGTTTGTTTGATGACAGGAGATACTTCGACTTATCCTCGCGATTTTTGATACCGTTGGTATCGATGTCATCGGCTTAAGCCAGCAATTGCACGCTCTTGTAGTAAATTGTTCCTGAGCGGTTCAGTTCTGCAGCTCTTATTATCTTCTCCAACATCAGATTAAAGAAGTCAGCGGCGTATAGGCAACTCATTTTAGTGCTGTCAAAAGCGGCTTTAAAGTCGAGAAGTCCTTTTCTCGCGGGTCTTCCAAGATTTGGCCTATTGTGAATACCTGGTCTATGGTGGATTTTCCAGGTTCAAAGCCACACTGATAAGGCCCAATCAGTTCATTGACGGTGGGCTTCAGTCTTTCACACAATACGCTCGATAAGACCTTGTAACCTATGCTTAGAAGGCTGATCCCACGGTAGTTGCCGCGAATGGCGGGGTCACCTTTCTTGTGAATTGGGCAGAGGACACTAAAATTCCAGGCATCCGTTCATCTGACCATATTCTGCACAAGAGTTGATGCATGCACCTTATCAACTCCTCGCCGCCGTACTTGAATAGCTCAGCTGGCAGGTTGTCAGCTCCAACAGCTTAATTACTTCTACTTAGTTATTATTTTGCAAGTTTATTTTCCTGCTGATCATGTGAGGGTAATAATATCCAATATACTGTACATATGTGCATTTTTGCGAGATATGTAAATACTTAATTGATTACGAAAAACTCAAGCGTATTCTGGTGAATTCAGTGATTTATCAACGTTCCCATAAAAACTTTAATATTTTTGGATATACAGTGACTTAAACAAATGACCACGTGTTGATTTTCTTCAAATATTCGTAATGTTTTTCGAACTAATTTTGTTTTGGTATTTTTATTTAAAAAATACCGTCTAAGGTTTAACAGAAACCATGTAAATTACAGTTTCAAACTTTATACAAAATTTAGGAAAATTCAAAAAATTTTCATCGAAATTTCAACTTTATATTCTGAATTTTCAGAAAATTTTTAGTCGTGCAGTTTTATAGCCCATACAGTTTTAATCTAATGAAGTGCAAGTTTGGAACGGCTAAAAAGTCGCGATTATAAGAGTGTACGTTCCTTCCATTTGTGTGACAACATTAAGGCGCACGCGACAAATCGGAGGAGAAGCTTGGCCAAACAATATTTTATTATTATTTGAAGAGGGTTGATACCAGATTATTTAATAAATTAAATGCATTATTGCAATATATATGTATCAATCGAAATAGTTTTGAAAATGTCAACTTAAATTAAGGGAATTTATGTATTAAAATATTTGCCACAAGATGGGTGTCAGATGAAAAAGGTTTAGTAGTTGAAAATACTTTCAAGGGGGAAATATGTGCAAATTTCTTATTTTTTGCTGAATTTAAATAATTTAAGTTTAATTGAAATAAATTACATCCAAGCTAACACGCAGAAAGACAAACTAGTATATTTATATTTACCCTAAAAGTGTTTATAAAAATGCTTTACTTTCAGTGTTTTTATTTATTAAAACAATATTTTAGACATTCTGAAAATATCAAAGTAAGAGTGTGTGTATGTAAGTATATACATACATTTATGATAAGAACTACAAAAAGTTTTCTGTATAATGGAAAAAACAGGTTTCTCTCTTTATTTTCTGACATTCGGCAGCCTTATATTCAAATTTTATTAGGAAATTTTCAAATAAGGCAGTGTCGAAATCTTTATCGCTCTCTAATTATTTCACGTGGTATAATTCCACCATTGGAAAAAGTATAATGCTTTCTCTTCTAGCTGATTTTTTAGAATTATTTTTATTAACTATTACGTTTGATGGATCTTACTTGGCAGATTTAGATGCAAAATGCCTATATTACCAATATAAAATGAAATATTTTTCATACAATCTATGTACTATGTATAATAATTCAGCATTTATATGCAAATAATTGCATGAATATGTATGTATCTCTATTTTTACTTAACTCTAAATATTCTGCCAACTTGAAATTAACTATCTTAGGCAGCGTTGTCTTTATGTGTATGTATGTGTATAAATGCTAGTAGACGGTAGAGAGAAATCTGCATGTCTTCAGGTATTCTATGCAATTATGACACTTTTGTTGTTGCTCATAAGTTCTGGGTATGTAATTTGTCATTTGAATGTATGTATTTGAATGTGTGTATATGCATGTGCGTGGAGGTTATGGCAATTTTCTATAGCTTTAACGCGCTACACCCGTGTAATCAGTATCACCCTTTGAGTAGTGCAGACAACTCATCACCGTGTCCACCAAATACAAAGCGCCCTCGACAATACACAATGAGCCCATTATAATGCCAACTAACTTATCACTACTCGCAGTAATAGGCACATGTTGTACGCTCAAATATGAGTAGTCCATAGTGTCCATGTAGCCGACCCAGTAGTGAAGGGCAATACCGCCGACTAGAGTCCACAAAAAGGTGCCGACCACGTTCATGATTGTGTCGGTGAGTTCGCTGGAAATTAGAGTAAAATGTGTACATATGTAGGTGTGCATATTTGTGTAACAAAATGAGTAATTAATTGCAATGCTTACTGTCTGTATTTGTTGGGACCAAAGAAGTAGGCAATCGTGTGCACGCCTGTATAGACAATAAAGCCAACGAAGACACCGGAAGCGAATATTTCACAACCGGCACTTTTCTCCTCCCACAGATTCCATGTGCCACCAACGCCAAGAAAATAACCACCGGAGCCGATGCGATAAATTATAATGATGCCCAAATTGAGGAGCTGTGAATGAGAGAAGAAATGTAAACATTTAACTCACTGGATATGAATTTTAAAAGGGTTTTATATATAAGCTTCCAAGAAGTTACATTTTCCTCTTCTTTACCTTCTTGATTGTTTTG